CCTTACGGTTTAAAAGCAGTTTGAAAATTAACGAAATGCGGACACTATTTTTCGCGACACCCGAATCGACAAGTGAACTCCATCCAAAAGAAAACCGCACTGCAATGTCGGACAAAGAGTACTGCATGCATTTTTTTGTTACTGTTTTTTAAAACCGCACTGCAATATCGGACAGAGAGTACTGCATGCGTTTTTTTTACTATTTTTTATATGAGGTGAGTGCAGTTCACATGAAAGAAAAAGTGAACCTCGACATAAGTTTAAGTGAACCACATTATTATTTTCATTTCTTTTAACATTCTTTTTGCACTTCACATTGAGCGAAAGTGAACCACAACACTATCAAAAGTGAATCACATTAATGTTTTTACTTCCGTAACATTTTTTGCACTTCAAATAGAGCACAAGCGAACCTCGACACTCTTCAAAACGAACCGCATTACTTTTTTCGCATAATTTAGTGAACTGAATTTTTTCCATTTGTTTTTCTGTGTGTATTCGATCTGAGCTGCACATGACAAAAGTAGTGTACTGCATGTGTCTAAAACTTCTATTATATATCGAGCAAACCACAAGGATAGTCAAAAATAAACTACACTTTTTACATAATGAGCAAACCACAAACAATTGGACCCCCAGTGTTCATCGAGTGCACTTCCTTTTCTACCAACAACCTCAAGATCTTCCTCCAATAGGATAATCACGGCCTGCAAAGAACAAAAAGTGATCTACGTCCGACCGGTGAGGAGGGGAAGTAGGAGAGGAGGGGCTGGTTCTCGGCGGCGGCAGAGCCCGTCCTCACCTTGGACAGAGCAGCAGGACAAGGCGCAGTGCGGCCAGCACACATGAATCTCAGTGAATACAAAGAAAATCAATGAGCTTCAAAAGAAAATAAAATGAACTGCAAAACAGAGAAAACGTGCGACTGGGAGCCATGGCGCGACCGTTCGTCGGTGGCCGGGATCTAGCAGATCCGGGGATGGGGAGAGGTGGTTGTCCCGCGCGTTCCTGCAACCTATAGCTGAGTCGACCGACGAGGAGAGGAAGTAGGGGGAGGAGGGGGTCGTGGGCCGGCGAATTCGACGGCAGATGAGGTCGCGGGATCAACACGAGGCCGGGGGAGCCGCTCCTTCCCGTCTCCGGCACGCTGGACCTCGTCGGCCCTCGTTCGTGAGGATTTGTTCCGATAACGTCGCGTTTGTGAGGATTTGTTCGACTTCGTCCCTTTGTCTTCTTCATGGACTCGTTCTTCTTCCTTGCGGGATCTCAGGCAAGATGACCATACCCTCGAAATCACTTCTATCTTTGCTTGCTAGTTGTTCGCTCTATTGCTATGCCGCTCTACCTACCACTTGCTATATCATGCCTCCCATATTGCCATGTCAAGCCTCTAACCATCCTTTCCTAGCAACTTTTGTTTGGCTAAGTTACCGCTTTTGCTCAGCCCTTCTTATAGCGTTGCTAGTTGCACGTGAAGATGAAGTTGGTTCCATGTTGGAACATGGATATTTTGGGATATCACAATATCTCTTATTTAATCAATGCATCTATATACTTGGTAAAGGGTGGAAGGCTCGGCCTTATGCCTGGTGTTTTGTTCCACTCTTCCCGCCCTAGTTTCCGTCATACCGGTGTTATGTTCCTTGATTTTGCGTTCCTTACACGGTTGGGTGTTATGGGAACCCCTTGACAGTTCGCTTTGAATAAAACTCCTCCACAAGGCCCAACCTTGGTTTTACATTTGCCTAACAACCTATTACCCCTTCCCTTGGGTCGGCCAACCCGAGGGTCATCTTTATTTAGCCCCCCCGGGCTAGTGCTTCTCTAAGTGTTGGTCTGAACCGAGCCGCCCGCGGGGCCACCACTGGGAAACTCGAGGCCTGGTTTTACTCGTAGCCTGTCTCATCCGGTGTTGCCCTGAGAACGAGATATGTGTAGCTCCTATCGGGATTGTTGGCACATCGGGCGGTCTTGCTGGTCTTGTTTTACCATTGTCAAAATGTCTTGTAACCGGGATTCCGAGTCTAATCGGGTCTTCCCGGGAGAAGGAATATCCTTCGTTGACCATGAGAGCTTGTGATGGGCTAAGTTGGGACACCCCTGCAGGGTATAAACTTTCGAGAGCCGTGCCCGCGGTTATGTGCCAGATGGGAAATTGTTGATATCCGGTTGTAGAGAACTTGACACCAGATTCGAATTAAAACGCATCAACCACGTGTGTAGCCGTGATTGTCTCTTTTCGGCGGAGTCCGGGAAGTGAACACGGTCTTTGGGTTATGTTTGACGTAAGTAGGAGTTCAGGATCACTTCTTGATCATTACTAGTTGACGACCGCTTGCTTTGCTTCTCTTCTCGCTCTTATTTGCGTAAGTTAGCCACCATACATGCTTACTCGCTGCTACAACCTCACCACTTTACCCCTTTCCTTACTCATTAAGCTTTGCTAGTCTCGATACCCATGGTAATGGGATTGCTGAGTCCTCGTGGCTCACAGTTTACTACACCAACAGTTGCAGGTACAGGTTATGCGATGATCATGATGCGAGAGCGATGTGTACTCGTGTTGGAGTCTTTCTTCTTCGTCGATCTTTGGTTAGGTTCCAGGTCGGCAGCCTGGGCTAGCAGGGTGGATATCGTTTGAGTTTCTGTTTCTGTTTCATCCGTAGTCGGATGTTGAACTTGTATATGATGTATTGTTGTATTCATGTGACATTGTATGTCTTGGTTGTATCCCCACTATTATGTAGTGTTGATGTAATGATATCCACCTTGCAAAAGCGTCTTCAAGATGCGCTTCTATCCTTGATGGGACCTTCGAGTTCCTTTAGGATAGGGTCACATCTTGGGCGTGACAAGCGAGGCCGCGCAACTGCCGTGTTGGTGGTGGTGGAACGCGGTGGCTGCGACCCAGAGCAGTGGCGCAGAGGAAGATAGGGGTAGTGGGGAAGCTCCGCATTGGGAGTCACGGGGGAGCTCCGC